GTTTTTGCCTATTCTGCCTCTATGCCTCAGGTTTCCTATCCCAGTCCCAGTCTCCTTCTCTATTGCCTTCTTTTCTTGTTCTTTATCAGTGTCTCTTTCCCGGTTTTCTCCTGCCCCAGCTCCCAATCTTCTTCTTCATCCTGTTCCAATTTCCACTCTACCTCATCCCATCTCCCACCTTCCCTTTGTCCTGCCAGTCTCCAGTCTTAGCTCTCCCATCCCTCTCCCTCAGATTCCTTGTTCCAATTTTCTTTTCCCAGCAGCTGGCTTTTAGCCCTTCTGTCTTCAAATCAGACAGTTTCACCTACCAAGCTGCCCAGGCCCAGCAGGTATAATTGGTACCACAACAGAAGCAGATTCATTACTATCACTTCTTGGCCATGGTTGCAGTTGCAGCCCCAGACTGGAACATGCTCAGTGTGGATGGAAACTCTCAGGCCAGAGCCCAGCAAAGTCTCCATTGAGCATGTGCAAATTGTGCTTTTGTCAAAGGGTCACGAGCTGGCTAGCTTTAGGCAGATTTTCACAAGGACAGCAGAAGCCATGTCCAAGGCACACAAGCTACTCCTTTAATAGAAATCATAGAGAAGTAGGCCGGAAGGGGACTCCATGGGTCATCTTGTCCAGCCCCCTGCTTGAGGCAGGATCATCCCTATCCAAACCAGCATCATATCTACCAAATGTCAGATCTCTGCCACACACCTCCCACATCAAAATACTTAAAATTTCATAACGTTAAAAGAACAGAGTCTGAATGAAATGTTGGGCAGCCTGAATAGTACATGGGGCTGGGAGTGCACAGGTAGCTCCAAAAAACACTAGCCTTTTCTGCTGAAACAACAAAATACCTCTTTTTAATCAACACTACTTGTATGACCTTCATCTCATTTGTGGCTCAGTCACTGGGAGAGAATACCATACATGTGCTCAGATATTTGAAACCAGCATATTACTTTGGAACATAGCTTTTTATTAGATTCAGGAAGTGAAATATGTAATGTGCAAGCCATACAGCTATTGTCCAGTTGGCTGTTGAAAAATTCATGTCCAGTAGCCAGCCTGCAGTAGAACATGCTATGTGGACTTCCATGCTTGCAGCAATGAGCAGGGAGGTCAGTTGGAAGAGTAAGGAAAGCGGATCAGAAGACAGTAGATCCAGTGGCACAGCAGGTGATTTAATTCTGTCCTACCATGTATGTTTTTCCTCCTCCTGTCAGAGAGAAGACGGAATTGTAACCTGATGCCCTTAGCCACCAACCAGCTCCAGAACCAGGAGAATCAGTGCTGCAAGGTGCGAGCCCTTTTCCATGCTAGCCTGGATCGCCACAGCTCAGAGGAAGAACTGGAGCGCATCAACCGAGAGTTTGCCGCTGAGAAACGGAAGTGGTCACAGGTCAGCAGGCTAGCCTGTTGTAGTGATAGCAACAACACATCCTCCAGTGATGAAGAAGTGAAGAACTTGTGTGGCATGACTTTCCGGCCTGTGGTGGAACAGGCAGACAGCCTGCATGCTAGTCCAAGCCCGGTGCTGTTCAGTGCCTCCCCACCTAAAAGACTCCAGCCCTTGGTTCGGAACCCAGCCCCCAGACCTTTGATCTTCACAAGCGTTGGGGCTGGTTTTGAGCAAGTCATGCCTTGTAAGAGACACCGGCAAGGATATGGGGATAAGGTCAGCAGGCCCAGCCTTGACTTGGAAAAAATGCAGCAGGTAAGACTGAATTACTCACAAGAAAGTTGGCCTCTCTTGAGAAGCTGCCACTGTAAGCAGAGGGTAAAGAGAGGCCTGGTGACTGAGGTACGGTATAGTGACATCATACATTGCCTGTCTTTGTGTGGGTGTATAGCCAGTCTATTCCAGTCTACAGTCACATAAGCCGTCTATAGTCACATAGCCAGTGTACTGCAACTTGTTCCAGAATATATTAGTTCTTAGCTATACCAGGATTTCCCATTTGAGGTAAAGGCTCTATCAACTGCATTGACACACAGTTGATTAGTGCTATTTCCATCCAGTAAGAGGGAAACGGTGAAGGATACATGCCATTCAGTTCATGGCACTACAGAGGGTAAAATCCAGTTTGGTTGTCCTAAGTGGAGTTACATCTAGTGTCCTCAGTGCACTTTCACCATTCTGTTCTTCTGGTGCAGCAAGTACAGGTAGGCCAAGATTTTTTTAAAAAGTAATAAATAATAATAATTACTTGTCCAGTTTAAAAGTAGTTCTGTACATCCCTCTCTACTGGAGGTGTACTGATACATTGGTCCCATATTGGATCGGCACCAGTGTAAGAAAAATTAACTGCATTGGCAGTTGGCTTTTTTTGGCTGATGTGGTGGATAATGTGGCTGATAAATGCCCTGTGCGTGTGCAGCTGCAGCACAGCCTGCAGGCGCCCAGGAGTGCAGTCTGGTAGTGTGGAGAGTAGCTGGGCCCTGCTGGTAAGTCTGTTGTGAGGGAAGGGGAATGGGGAGGGAAGAGGTGTAGGGGGCAGACTGAGATAGTGGTAAGGGAGGGAGTGGGGCAGGGGCAGGTACTGTACAGCCAGGGTGGGATGTGGGATGAAGCCACAAGTGGGTTGTCTGGGGGGGAGAGGGCAGCTCCTGCTGCTGTGTGCACCCTGGGAGGGCATGCGGGGCATGTGTGTGGCAAGGGTGGGCTGCTGCTGCTGGCTGAGGCTGGGGCAGTGCTGGGCTCTTTCTGGCAGGGGGGTTGGGCTGTGCTGTGCTCAGGGCGGGTGGCGGTGGTGCTAGGAGGGGGCTAGGATGAATTTTGGGGTGGCTGTAACTCCCCCCCCATATCCGTTTCCAGCACCGCCGCCTCCTGCCCCAAGTGCAGCCCGGCCGAACCCCCCACACCAGGAAGAGCTTGATGCTGCCCCAGCCCGCAGTGGCAGCTCACCCTCACCCTGCATGCAGATCCAGGGGAACATGCCCCCCATGCCCTCCTCGGGTGCATGCAGTGGCAGGAGCCGCCTCCCCCCTCCCCCGCATCCTCTGGACAAGCTGCTCATGGCTCTGTCTCCTGCTCTTCCCTGGCTGTGCAGCACCTGCCCCTGCCCCAGTCCCATTCCCTCCCTCACTGCGGGGGCCTTGATCTGCCCCCACCTCCCATGCCCCTTCCCCCACAACAGACTTACCAGCCAGATGCTGCTCTCCAAGCTGCCTGGCTGCATATCAGATTTCAACTGATATCAGCTGATATAGCTCGTTAAAAATCGGCCATCGGTGTTGCCCCAAAAATTCTCTATCGGTGCACCTGTACTCTCCACACTTCTTGGTCCTTGGTTCTTTTCTCAGTCCCCTGGGTTTACAGTGGTAATGGAGTTATTCTAAATTTTTGCTAGGCTGTATCTGAACAGACTTGGGTCATGCCAATCATTGCATTGGCTCTTACAGTCTGTGCTCAGCAAGAACTATAAAGTTGATACTGTACAGGGTGAATACCTGCTTCTGGTAGGATTGGCCAGACTGTCTGATTTGTCTTTCACTGGGATGCTATCGCAGTACTGAGTATTTCAGCTCCATACCTTATTATTTGTCTTTTTTTCCTGCACTGTTGTAGTGTCAGTTTTAAAATCACACAGGGAAAAAATGGACATTCCGGGTCTCCAGGCATCTGGTGACTCTAGTTGAGTGCAGAAGGGTCAGGACAAGAATA